AGAGAGAGAGAGAGAGAGAGAGAGAGAGAGAGAGAGAGAGAGAGAGATTGATTCAGAGAGTACTTCCAATCCAAGTTCTGTTCCAGAGGAGGTATCTGGGGATGAGGGTGTGTGGGGAGGAGCAGAGGTCCTGGGGAATTCTCCAGGACTGTGGGGAGATGGAGGCTGGGATGCAGGTGGACTTGGGGATATGGTTGCTGGCCTGTCAAGGGCACTGCTGTCATGGGGGAGGGCCCGAGGACCTCAGGGCTTAACATCCTAGGAGGCTGAATGGTGGGTCTTGCTTCTGTTGAGTGATTTTACCAATAGATGGCCATGGGTCTCAGAGCCTCTGCCTGTGTCTTGGGAATTAGCACACTGACCAGGGCCCCTGGTTTTTTCTGGGGAATCCCCAAATGGCACCCTATACATGCTCACAGACCAGGTTCCTTGCCCTGTTCACCCCTTCTCCAAGCTAGCTTACTGTTCATTCAGAGTTCTCTACTCTGGGGCTCTGGAAACACCCCAAATTTCTTGTGCTTCATGTTGGAGCTGCTATGGGTGCTAAGAGGTGCAGACAACAGCTTCCTCCCAGCTAGGGAATGCTTTTAAACAGATGTATTATCATTGTGTGTGTGTAAGTGAGTGCATGTGTGTGTGTATGGTGTGCATGCCACCACTTACATACGGAGGTCAGAGAAGTACTTTATGAGGTTAGTTCTCTCCACTCTGTGCCATTTTTGTCTTCTTGACACAGAGTCTCCCTGTAGTTCCAGCTGGCCCAGAACTCTTTATGTAGAGCAGACTGGACTCAATCTCCCAGAAATCCACCTGCCTCTGCCTCCTTAGTGCTGGGATCAAAGGCATGCACCACCACACCAGGCTCTCCTTTCACTTTTATGTGGGTTCCAGGCATTGAACTAGGGTCTCCAGGCTTTCATGGTATGTGTCTTTACCCCTGAGTCACCTTGCTGACCCTTTGGTAGACATTCTTTGCCATGTGGTATCTGCACAGGGTGGTTGGAGCCAGCTTGCACAGGCCGAGAAAGCCCACTGTCAGATTCTATGGAATTAGGCGAACTGGTTTGCTAAAGCCAGCCATCATGGAAATGTATAATGAAGATTTTTTTTTTTGTCTTTTTGAGACAGGGTCTCCCTGTAGCCCCAGCTGGCCTGGAGCTTACTATGTAGACAGGCTGGCCTTGAACTCAGAGATCTGCCTGCCTCTGCCTGGGGGTGCTGGGATTAAAGGCATGCACCACCATGCCTGGCTAAAATACATAATAAATCCTATTTAAAGTAGATAACAAGAACTCAGAGTTCATCCCTTGCTTTTTATTTTTATTTTTTATTTTTTGTGACAGGGTCTCCTGTAACCCCAGCTGTCTTGGAACTCGCTATGTAGAACAGGCTGGCCTTAAACCCACAGAGATCTGCCTGCCTCTGCCAGGATTAAAGGCATGTACCACAATGCTAGGCACATCCTTTCCTTTTTTACCTGTGGTGCTAGGATTGAACTCAGGGCCTTATACATGCTAGGCAAGTGCTTTACTGCTGAGCTACACCCCTGGGTCTTATGTAGCCCAGACTGGCTTCCAACTCAAAATCCTTCTGTTTCTGCCTCCCCAATGCTGGGATTATAGGCCTGTGTCACTATGAACTTTTATATGGTGCTGGGGATGGAATCCAGGGCTTCATGCATGCTAGGCACACACTCTCCCAACTGAGTCACATCCCCACCTGCTGTGTTTTGAGACTTTTTTTTTTTTGTCTTTTTGAGACAGGGTCTCCCTGTAGCCTTAGCTGGCCTGGAACTCCCTATATAGACCAGACTGGCCTCAAACTCACAGAGATCTGTCTGCCTCTGCCTGCCAAGTGCTGGAATTAAAGGCATGTACCACCATGCCCAGCTTTGAAACTATCTTTAAAAAAAAAAAAAAAAAAAAACTGGGGGAGGGCTGGAGAGATGGTTCAGTGGTTAAGAACACTGGTTGTTCTTGCAGAAGACCTGGGTTCAAATCCCAGCACCCACATGGCAGCTAACAACTGTCCGTAATTCTAGTTCCAGGGCATCTGATGGCCTCTTCTGTCCTCCGAGGGCATTGCAGGACACAGGTATACTTACCTACATGTAGGCAATACACTCATAAAATAAAAATAATAAATAAAAAAATATTAAGGGGCTGGAGAGATGGCTCAGCAGTTAAGGACACTGGTTCTTGCAGAAGACCTGGGTTTGAATTGCAGCACCCACATGGCAGCTAACAATTGTCTGTAACTCCAGTCCCAGGGGATCCAACAGTCTCTTCTGACCTCCATGGGCATTGCACGACATGGATGCACTTACCTACATACAGGCAATACACACATACACATAAAATTTAAAAAAAAAAACCAAAACTGGGAACAAACCCAGGCCCTCAAGCATGCTAAACATGCTCTCGATCACTGACCACACACCATCCCCCTTCAACCCTACTGTACAGTTTTCTAAGCTCCTGAGCTATGCTTGTCACACATGCACAATGAGAATGGCCCATGGCAGGAAATGTCCCACAGTGGGAGGTCACCGCACAACCCTTCCAAACTCAGTGCTCAATGATTTCAACTTGGAAGTTCTTGACTACGCTGCACCATTGCAAACTGTACCAGAAACAGAGGCAGTTGCTCATTTCACAAGTGAGCACATGAATTTACACATGCTCTCTGTTGCTTGGCCTCTGTCTTACTCCCTGAGGTAAAGGACCATCCACCATATTCCCACAAAACCACACTTCTTTATCCACTGTAGCCACAGGGTAACGTTAGATGAAAGAATTGGGATTAACAGCCAAAAACGTTTCATGCAAATGAACTGATCTTACAAAATCTTCAGAAAAGAGGCCTCGATCCTCCTGCCTCAGCTTCCCAAGTCCTGGGACACAGGCATGCATCACCACACTTGGCTATGTAAAATTTGTTTTTATTAGTAAAGTGTATGCTATGCACCTTCTATATCCACATATTGCAAGGTGTGCAGGCATGGATGTGTTTGAACACAGAGCCCTGGAAACTGGTTGTTCAGTCAACACACACAACCAGCTCCTTGGCATATGTACTGGGACCCACAGTCTCAGACATCCCGTTATGGACAGTCCTTGGCCTTCTTAGAGCGTCAGACCCCACACACGGGGCTGAGGACACCCATCCCTCTACTCCCTTCTTTCACTTAAGAAGGACCAACAGCTAAACCTGGCCTCTCTGGCTCCAGCCCTGGGGTGAGTACACAGCTGGGTGGGGGCAGAGAGAACTGTCCCCAGGGTCATCCAGGCCCCAGCTCAGCCAGTGCCCAGTCCTGGGACACACTGTTGCAATCATGGTCTTAGCATCCACGGTTTCAGCATCTTCTGTCTCTTCAGTGGTCCCTGCATCCACAGTCTCTGCAACCTCAGACTTTGCACCTATGGTCCCTGCATCCACAGTGTCTGCATCCATGGTTTCTGAATCCATAGTCCCAGCATCTGAATCCATAGTCCTA